CGATGTTCAAGTCAGTGCTTTTATCATCCCAGACAAGTCCGGTAACAATTGAACGACCCCGGAAGGATGGAAGCTTTGGTCGGCCTGGGAGAACAGCCGAGATTAACCCGTTATCAGTCCTGTGTGATAGTGCCACTTGCTACTACACCATTTCCATTCATGTCTATGATGGTCAAGAACAAAATCACCTTATCCTTGTGTTCGTGCATGTTGACGACTGCGACGGCGTAGGAATAGTGGCCGTCACGGACGGGTGTTACTGGCTTCACATAGATACTGATATACTTTATCTAAAACTCGGATTTTCACTTAAAGGCTCCATTGTAATGATTGAATCGAGTTCTATCGACTTACCCTCCGCACAAGTTTGCCCATTATTCCCAGCGGATCCTGATCGATAGCGATGACATTGCGATTCAGCAGGATATCCCGGATTTCGGGTTTCAAAACACGTAAGTCGTTTGACATTATCAGCGGTGCAGACCATATTGACCTAAGTAAATAGTTAGTTATAAATTGTCTTAACAGAACCAGTTCCTAATACACTATGCATTTGGCTTGGTCAGGAATTGCTTGAAGAAGTTGGTGGGGAAAAAGTCACTTCGTTTAGGGCGATCGTTTAGGGCGAGCACAAGAAATGCTCAGGCACCACGGAATGGAGGATAGATTGAAGACCTGGTAGTAGCTATCCTTTATGTGTTTCTCTATAGAAAGCACAAGCCTCTATCGAGCCCATTCCGGTCATCAGGATTTGGAATCACTCGCGGTGGCTTTCGGGGATTACTTCAGAGTGATACAGCTACTACCCCAGTCCAATTTTTGTCGAATGACTTCTAGAGATTGTCTCTCTGACTTCGAGAAGACCCTCATAGAAGTCCGTCAGCGGGAAGCGATCTGCGGGAAAAGAATCTTGCTGGGACAGGTGTTGGGGAGGACGAATAAACAGTCAACGATTTTGTAAAATTCCTTTTCAAGAACTAATTTCTCAGAGCAGTGCATTGGAATTCAAAGGGAAGACTAGAGACAGAAGAGGGAAAAGCGGTCTGAAAGGCTGATTCATAAAGGTTTCCAAGGTCATATTCGTCCAGCCCATCTTGAGAAGATAAAATGATGATTTGAAAGTTAAGGATGGCAGAAATTTTTTGTGCGTTGCAGTGGGAAGGCAACATCGTGTAGAAGAAGACGCTCAACTGACACAGGCCGATAACGCCATTCGGGTTCCCTATGAGGTCGCATGAAGGTAAGCGGCAGGCTCGATGGAATCTCATGGAATTTCTGGACTCAATTTTAATCCCAAAATTACCTACCAAAGAGTCATTTGGACCATAGCCTGATCGATGGTAACATTCGGCAAGCCAGCCACGATCTAAAATATAGCATTTCCTTCCAACACATCCCTTACTAGTTAGATATGGGCAACTCGAAAAGATGCAAAAAATTACGAACTATCCACCATGAACTCACCATATCGGGATCATTCCATCCGCCTGGGGCCTGGGCAGCTGCCAAAACATCCTGGTTTGCGTCTACAAAGCGAATGATGTCAGAGATTGAGTTCCAGTTGCCGATCACGTCGTTGTAGATTCTCCAAGAATTGCAAGCTGATCGTACTGCAGTGTAGTTTACCTTGAAATAATTACAATTACATTGTGAACAGCATTGTTCGGTTGGAAGGATAATCACATTCGAAAATAAGATGTTAGCCTCTGAAAACACATGGAAGTAAAAGTACAACTGAACACTCTTATAAGAGAGCAAAAACTCATGAGCAGTCGTTGAACGAAGTTCGAGCCCACCTTATCCTTTTTGCCATCTAAGTAGAAGAAGAGAGGCCAGCCACAGGCGTAAACAATCGGACGACCAGTGGCATTAAGAGCACGCTCCATTTCGGGATAGCCTAGGATAGCAGAATGTGAGCCGAATTGGGATACGGTGCAGGTAGTTCATGCTTATACCATAAAGGGCTTCGGTTGTACAGTGCCAAATGGGGCACTATCACATACACAGGGATCTAATCTGTACCGATACCCACCCAATCCGGTCAGGCCTTCGATCCCTCCGGGCTGTACAATTTGGTACCAGGCTCGTCCGGGAGGACAATAGTAGTGTCTTGTTCAGGTCACATACGCATTCGAAACCCAACTACGATTCTGAGTTGAAGTCGAATGCGGGGCGTATCCAGAAGGGGTTGATTAATGTCCTAAGCCTTCATCCTTTCATTACTAATCAAAGCGGCCCCCTACTGAGTGACTAAGGTAACTTAAGAATGGGTTTCATAAAAGAGTAGAGTCAGAAACTTCAAGAACCTGTCTGAGAAAAAGGAGTCGTCGGTTGCTCATCGATATTGCAACTTTTCGGCTCTTGTCCGAAGTTTCAGTTCTTTTGGGCAAATTTCCACTTACCGAAAGGTATGCTGCGACTTCTTCAAAAAGTATGACGATCAGGAGCCCGAACGACCAGAAATAAGTACCTATCCGCTATAGATCGCGGGGGGGGGGGGGGCTACCAAAAAGGAACTGCTGTGTAGATTGGGACTCGGTCTAGACCCCAGTACAGAGACGGCTCCATGAAGCAAGGTTAACAATTGCTCATTCTCTATGCTCGTGTTTTACCAGTAGGCATTAGCGTAGTATTGACGTTGCACCCGTCCAACTTCAGATAGTCCACATCCCAAGAAGCGAAGGTTTCGGCATCGATCTGAAAAAAAGCTCCTGCACTAGTTATCCTGGCCTCGGCATTACCCCGACTTCACCGCTCCTATTTAGGTTCCATTCTGATCAAGGCGATTGAATTAGCTGTTGAGCAATTCTCTCACGAAAATCATCTCTGAGTTGGCCTGGCCAGTCATTCGATTTAGATTTCTCAGTTCCGTCAAAAAACTCTGAGAGCCTGTCGATTTGGTTTTCTTTATAGTTCTGATGAGACACTCTGGGTACAGTTTCCCAAGAAAGCATTGAAAAAAGACCTATTAAGGATCCCTCTAGTGTTCTGGGATGGCGAAGACGACTTTAGGTTTCTCTAGTCTGTGATATGCCGAACAGAACTCAGTGACGCCTGATTAAAGCTAATAACTGAAGGCTCCCTTTTTGCTTGGGAAAGGATATGTACATACCCTAAAATTCCATAGATAAGAGCGGTTGAAACTACCGGTGAAAAATGA